AAAAGCTTTCGTTTTATTCAAGTTAAAACGCATTACTTGCCCTCTCATGATCTTTCAACCCGTTAAAATGCGTCAACAAAAAGTTAAACGCGTTGAAACGCGGTTATTTCTTTCATGTGTTCAGTCAACGCGTTATAAAGCGTTGTTTTCTTCTATTCTAACCTTCAACACGTCAAAACGGCGTTTTGCCATTTATCTGTCTGCGTGGGTACTAGCATTAGTTTTTTGCTGATAAGTTCTCCAAATAAAGGTCCAGAGCGTTACTTTTTTCACGATATCTAAGATAACATGACGTACATTGAACATAGAAAGTAGCTTTCGAAAAGTTGACGATCCTGAGGTACACGTGTTTTATTTTCGGAATGTCACGTCGCTAACAAATGATTTCACTCATATGTTTCTTGTTTAAATGTCAATCATTAGTATTCTTTTTTTTGTTCTTCAGTATTATATATCTCGATATTTCCCTATTTACTTCGATTATAATGCTAGTTGTGAAATTTTGTGTTTATCTAGCTTACAAACTGCAGACTAATGTGTTTCTACCGAATGAATGTTTTGGTGTTACTCGGGACGAAGACTGTGAATTTCTTGCCAATTATTGTTTGGATGAATGGCTAATTTTACCTGAATATCCTGTTATGTATGGATATTTTCAATTTGTCTATATGACTAATCGATCAATTAATCAATTTAAAATTAATGTTGTACCTGACTTCGTATGTTTCGATGCAGAGAAATGTCCTGCATTATTATCTAGGATAGTCCCGATAAAAATAATCGATGGTCTTACATGCTGCCGTACTTTTGACTTGATTTTAAATGATCTGAGAGAAGAGTTCTACATGTTGAATCACGAGTTCTCGAACCTTTATCGTGTATGTTCAACTACCGGTAATGAAATGTCATGTACAAATTCATCTTATTTTTATTGTAATGAATCTTTAAAATGCATCTCATATCATCGCGTTGGCGATGGATTCAAAGATTGTTTTTATAATGAAGATGAATCATTTCCTACGTGTCATTTGAATGTCTCAAATCGATTTAATTGTACGTCAGATCCAACCAAGTGCTTGTTGCCTGTAGCGATTGGTAATGGACAAATTGATTGTCCACAAGGAGAGGATGAGAAAAATGAGAATATATATGGTATCCTGCACCAAATATCGTTTTCATCTATATGTGACGGAATACCACACGTAAACGGGAATGAAACTGATGAAACAAACTGTGAATGGTGGCCATGTGATAATGCATACTCACATTGTAATGGGATTTGGAATTGTCTTAAAGGTATCGATGAACTTAATTGTCGACATATAGATTGCTCATGGAACGAATTTCAATGCAAAAACAAATATTTGAATTTAACTTATTGTTTACCATTAGTTCACATGTTCCATAAGAGGAGAGATAATTGTACGGATAATGAAATTATTCATGAACTCTATGTCGACAATGGAACAAATGACATTAGCAGATCTTACTATTCATTTAATAAATCCAAATGTATAACTGAAGATAACATTTGTAATCGTCATTTAGAAAGAGCGAATGTACAAGATGATGTATGCCCTCGAAATCAAATGGTCCATATAAGTGTCAGTCATTATAGTACAATCCACAAAGTCGATAATGATAATACATACTTATGTATTCTTCAACCTAGCACGGACATGTTCTTTGATTCTACCCGTGGCTTCTTGACTCCTTCGCGACTTGGCTATTTTCCATCAACAACATCTACAAGTTCCACTCAAAATTTTTTCAACAAAAATAAACATAAAAATAATATATCTAAGATAGATATTGTACTCGCTAGGTATTGTCACCCCAGGGCGAACATTCAGATAATAAGACCTTACAAGAATCGTACGTTTGATCATATTTGATCTGATACGATCAGACGAAAACCGTACGGAAAATCGTAGTCTCTGATTTCTTACACTAAGTCGTATTAACAGATCCTTGTAAGAATCTGTTGCGTCGTGAACTAATTACAGCACCATTCTATTTAAACTAATATGGCCCTCAAATAGCACTNCCCCCCCCCCCCACCCCCCCCCCCCCCCACCCCCCCCCACACCCACCCCCACCTCCCCCCCACACCCACACCCACACCCACCCACAAGATATAGGTGAGAAGCCTAGAACGCAATCTTTTAATGCATGCTTACAGAATTTTTGACGAGTGATTTAGGAATAATGTTTTTAAAAGGTGAACAGAATAGCATCTTTCTATCTATTGCAAACTTTATCTATCTTTTTTAGAATATAGATAGTTTTTTCATTGTCGTATTCATCGTGTAAGATGTGAGCAATATAACTAAATGTAATAATTTTAAGTAATTAAAGTTTAACGTTCGTTACCCCCAGTTACGCAATTACAACTATTTGCATTTTAGATCCTCTCTCCATTTTCTATCATAAGGCGACAAATTAGTAGTACACGAAATCTATTAAAAACTAAATCCACTAGGAAGAGCAGTGGAAATTAATCAGTGAATGATTGAGTATTTCAGTCCTATAAAATACGTTGAAAATTTTGTCAATATTGAATACTAAGTATTTTTTAGGAGATTTCTATATGTAATTTCACAGTTATCAGAAGAAAGGAGTGTTACATATATATATATATATATATATCTGAGCATAGTCAACTTTTTAAATAAAGTACATATGCATGAAATGAAAATAAAAAATGTGAACTGTATTTAGAGATATATGTATGTCTAACAATCGTTTTCTGACAACTGTGAGAGTACACAGAAATCTTCTAATTAAAAATAACTAGCATTCAATATTGAAAAAATTTTCTATGTATTTTATAGCACTCAAATGCTCAATTATTAACCCGTGAAAACGTAAACTTTCAACCCATTTAAACTGTCAACAGATGTCCGATTTTTCATGTTTTTGTACGTTTACTTATGTACCGCAGTTAAACGTTTGTTTTCACTCCCTACAACGAGTTTAAAGTCGAAATTGATTCAACTGTTAAAACGTGAAAATTCGGACATTTGTTGAAAGTTTAAATAAGTTAAAAGAAAAGAAAAAAACGTTCGTTTTAACGCGTTTTTTGCTTAGTTTTGCCTGCTAGGGTAGTCTATTTGATAAGAGGGAAAAAAATAGATCTCATGATCTACTACGATTGACGAGGACCTGTTAGTATTTTAGAAAATAAAGTCAAAAGACTGAGAATCAACCGTAGAATCTTGATAAGAAAAAGAAATAAGATCCTGGAGACTGACATACTGATGTATCGCAATGAATATTGATATATTTTGATGGGTTCCGCGACTTATACAGTCAAATATGATCCATCAAGATACACGATTTCTGCATTGATTCCAGATTATTACGAAACTCGGTGGTTTATGCTGAATTCTAGTAAACTTCAATCAATTCTAATAGGTACTGTTGAACTTTTCCAAGGGAAAAATCTCTGATATTTCCGAGCTAGATCCCTGACATAATCGACAAGAGTTCCAACCAAATTCGCTGCTTTTTCATCAGGAAACGAGAAAATCCTTAAAAAAGTATGTAGCTGCGGAATTTCAAGATATTGACAAGATTCAAAACAGGATTTTATAAATATTCTAAGTAGTTTACCAATACATTTTACACAAGAAATATGGATAGGAAATGGAAAATCCTGAGAGAAACATGTGGGCATGGAATACCAACAAATTTCTGGACAGGATCTGTCAAGGGTTTTCTAAGCAGAACAGAGGAGAAATAAATATGGAGTGCCATTTCTACACCTTCAGGTTAAAAATCGATCAGCTTACCGCACTGAACTGCACGATACTATTTAATATAACTTCAACGTTCCTTATCTTAGATTCTATCTGAACTATTAACTTGCATGCGAATTGCATGTAGACATAAATTATTCCAAGAAGAAAATTCGAAAAAAGTAAGACTAAACTTTAGAAATTGATTTCTGTTGATAAAATTTTACTATTACGTGTTAATTTCAATTCAAATAAAACAACATGTTTCTAATTTTCGTTCCACGCAAAAATTGAATTCAGACCAAGTTTTACTGAACGACTGGCTTCTTATCAAAAAAGGTTTCTTTTAAAGGAAAAACTAGTGCAACAACTAAACTGATATTTAAATTTAAATTTTGATGAGTTTTCAAGTTTTACATAAAAACAAAATCTCAAGGATAATTGGGTTTCTTACCGTAGATGTCAAATCATATTGAATATAAATCTGCAAAAGATTTAAAGAAAAAATCTTCTAATATTTTGCCCGTAATCTTCCATTCATCTATATGCGGATGCAAAATAAAATTAGAATAAAACCCAGGAAGGTTCTGGAATTTATAGAATCCTGTCAGAATCCTGTCAGAATCCAACTAAAAAAAGTATAGTAAAATCTTGAGTAGCTTTTCCATTTGTTGCAGTTAATATTTTACTTAACACTAAAATTGTGATTTGTTGGGACTCAGTGATTCGAAGGTCTTGAATGCATCGTCAATGGAAAGTAGAGAAGATCCTTACTGAACCATTTCATAATTTTTTTTCAAATTCTGAAGCAGATCAGTTATTAATTTTGTTAGAACTCTCAAGATCAAGCATCGAACAGGCTAAATAAAAATCTGTAAAGAACTTCGCTAAATCCTTATAATTTAGGGTATTGATGTGAGCGTGGTTGGGCATGGGTGGGTCTGCGTCTGTGTCAGGGTCTTGGTCTGTTAATGTGTATAGGGGTGGCTGTCAAGATGCATGGACACAACCTATATAGCTTCTCTACGTCGGTATCTACGCCAACACCTAAATTCACAGTGACTCACGCACACCCGACACCTGACATCCACACCCTACACACACCCACACCCACACCCCACCCATTGTCACCTCATAATATTTCACAAAATGAAAATACTCTGTATTGTGGTACCTTTACTCAGCCTCATCGCAACCATCATCTTCATCTACCCTTACCGACACACTAAAAAATAGGGGTTTATGAGTCTGCAACGTGACATAAACCCTTGTTTGCGTTTTTGAAATACCTTATAAATCTTTTTTTTCAAATAATAAACAGAAAAAACCGTTTATTATGCTTCTTCAGATCCGGAAACGAAGGGTTTATGTCTCATTGCAAACTCATAAACCTTTTATTCGTTTGTTATGGAAACAAAAACTTTTTTTCTGCTTACTATTCTCCAGATTTTTCCTTAGCGTAGAAGAGGCTGATATCCATAGTATACATACTACGTAGATGTCTAGATCGACTCTATGCTAGAATTTTCCCTTTCTACTTATTGTTGTTACGGAGATTCAAGTAGACCAAAATTTACAAAAAGATTGAATTATTTCGAGAAATAATGATTGATCATAATGAATTATATCGTCATTCTTTTCAAATTGCCTCATCTTTTGTCCATGTGTTCAATATTCATATTTTGACCAAAAGATTCAGCGCAAAATCCTCTACAAATCTATTTATAATTTGCTTTGAAACTCTTTTTAAATATACAGCAAAAACAATGAAAAGTAAAAGCATTCAAACAGATGTCAACAATAAGAACGAATGTGAAGATGTAATGACGAGAAACTGATATGAAGTGCGTTGTGAAGAAGTCGATTTTACTGACTATTTGTTGCCATAAATGAATTATAATTAACAAAATAGTTTCGCCTTAATCTCGAAACACTTTTATTATTTCATCATCACATTCGTACTCATCTTTGACATCTGTTTGAATGTTTTTACTTGTCATTATTTTGTGGTACGTTCAAAACTATATAGTTACAAATCAAATTATATATGGATTTGTAGAGCATTGCATGCCGAACCTTTTAGTTGAAATATGTATGTTTAGTAAGTAGACAAAAGAGGAGACAATGTGAAAATAGTAACAATATCATTCTTTATGGGCAACCATTATTTCTAGAAATAATTCACAATTTTTTTGTAAATTTTACTCTACTTGGAGGATGTGGGTGTGGTGAACTGATTCATACAAGCACATTCACACGCACCCCATACCTACACCCACATCATATTCACGTCCACGTCCACCGACACTCACACCCACTTGGGTGATTATCGAATGGGAGAACGTCAATTTGCCTTTTAATCTATAAATCGTGAGTTTCATTTTATTGAAACAGAAAGCCACATACATTGTATAATTGCGGAAAACAAACAGGAACATAATAAAACCCCCGACGTATTAGAAGACCCTGGATCTTCTATTCTGTTTTATCGTTCACAAGTTGTAAGGGGGTCTTCTATTATGTCCTTCAGAAAAGTCATATCTTTTGATACTCTTAATGATAGTTTTCATTTTCAGCCACCTTTTATTCAATACATTGTTAATAAATGTGTCCATCTTATTTTTAGCAGCTAGTTAGTTAAAAATCATACATCATATCCCAGTAAAAAAAATATAACATACAGTTGACGACAAAACTATTCTTTGTACTATACAATCAATCATACAATGAAAATCGTGCATAGTTTATCTCATCAGCGTCTTTTGGAATAATACAGTAGATCCATCTGAAACAGCTATAGTTTTATGATCAAGATCTGTTTTAAATGATCCATTCCAGTGTATCCTATATGATAGTTGTATTCTATGAAAAAGGGGACGCACTTTTTCACGAAGAGAACGCAAAATTCTTCTTCAGGATGTCTTTCAAATGAATATTGTGTGGAGCATTTTCTGTCCTAGTTTTATCAATGAAGGATCGTGTTTTCAATTGATATTTTTTATGACTTGCTCAGCTCATAGTTCGAACCACTAAAATCGCCGGAAGATAAATATTGTTCATATTGGGAATCATATATCGGCTTGTAAAGAAGTGCAAAAAAACAATAATAAATTTTAGAAGCTCTTTATAAAAGCAGCCATAATAGGGGTCTTCTAATGTGTCGGGGGGTTTATGTATTCTTTCAGTTTTCGTTTCCGTAAAATAGAAAAAAACTCTTTTTGTTGATTGATATATTCTAGGAATACAAGAGTATTGGTAATTATAATCTTTCATACAACTCTTGAAAGAATGCTGATTTTGTATGTGATGATATTTCTTGCTCTGCATAATACAGTGCATACTCAATATTCACTATATTATTCGGATATTCGTCAGAGTTCGTATCTGACATTTGATTGTTTGTACACTCAACTCATCGAAGGTGAATTAAATGAATATTCATCTTACATTATGAACAATCAGTTGACTCCCTATTGTCGACGACCTGATAATGATGAAAAAGAAGAAGAGATGTCTGATATATTGAATGAAAATATAGCAAACAATATTACTTTTAAAGAATTGAGCGAACAAGGTATAACAAGTGAACAACTTCTTAATTGGTCAGCACCTATCGATCTTGCTGAACGGTATGAAATGAATAATCAAAGTTCAGAATTATTCTATAACTGTTCATCGTCATGGTTTGGATCGAAATGTCAGTATCGATTTGTCTACAATTCATTTTTGTCATTTAATGAAATTATTAAAGCTTCGATGAAAATTCGTCCCAGCATTTTTGCTGGCGTAAGTATTACCACATGTTATCGCTTTTTATCTGGTTGCCATCGTGGGCCATGGTCTTTATGTCTCGACTGGCGGCAAATATGTAATGGCAAAGTTGATTGTATGAGTGGCGAAGACGAACAGTGGTGTGAAACATTAGAAATGACATCATGTGCTGATGATGAATATCGATGTCATTATGGTGGTCAATGTATTCCATTAATATTTGCCCAAGACAGCTACTTAAGTATTGACTGTCTCGATGGTAGTGAAGAGAAAGACAGCTCCTTCATGAATTCGCCTTTCCAACATCCTGTTTGTGGTTCAGTTATCACATTTCGATGTGAAGAGCGTATTAATCGATATCCTCTTGGTTTTCCATGTGGTGATGGTCAATTTTTGCAACAGACGGATGTGCCAGCTGAGAGTTTATCTTGTTTCAACTTCAGAAATTCCGAAGTGATGTTAACCATGCTAACTTCATTTGATCACATTAAAGATATTAAATGTCGACAAGCATTTCGTTATTCACTATTTTTGAATCGAAGTTACTGTAAGTAAGAATAATTGTATATTAATTTAATTACTGAGAAAACTCAAGTATTCTGTTTGTTTTTCAAATAGTAGTATGTAATGGATAAAGCCTTGAAATGTAAATTATAATGTTTTAGTATTTGACTTAAAAAATGAATTTGTCTAGCTTTTGAAAACTCAGCACGAGCTTGAGAATTTCTAATGATAGTTTACAGCTATTGCTTTAACTACTAGTTGTCGTGACTTTAATGCCTTCAATAGTGAACAATATTGAAAAAAATTGCTACCAGAAGGAGTTACAAGACAATATCGGTCTATAGGAGCCTACACTCATATTTGCAATTCAGCACATGGTTTTGAGTTCTTTATAAATTCATCGACTTGTCTTAACACTTGATGTTTATATAAAAATCGGTTGAAGCGGACAATTTTTTTGCTCATTTCCAACTGCAAGAAAAAGCACATATTCTGCACACCCAACTTCGATTACCTTGAAATGCTATTGTAATGGATTGAATTCTACACCAATAATGTTGGGAAATATCCTCTTCTTGCACAGAGGTCTTTGACATCGCCACTACTTTTCGGTTTGGAAAATATATAATTTTGTTGCTTCTGTAAATATCTATAATATAAGGCATGCTAGAAAATTGGCAGTATAGGTTTTGCATTAATATATCCTTTGGTAGACGAAAGTATATTTAGAGAGATACAACTAGGAAGTCATATAAGGTCAGTTTATGTGGTTTTAGGAAGCAAAAGAGTGTAGTTGAGTAATGAAATCCTACATAGAATTGAAACCTGAACAAAATCATATCGAACTAAGACACCTTGGCAACCCATCACAGACCGTATATCAATAACATCTTGTTCTAATATGTTAACTACTTCCCTATTGCATTTTTGAAGGATTAAGTAAAAACATGGAGACGAAATATGTCCCAAAATAGATATAATAGAATAATCTTCCTGTGATTAGCAAGAGTAGTTACATTGTGTTTTACATTTAAATTCCGCAGGGATTGCAGGGACAGATTTTATATATGACTCTACTTGAGTTTGAACAAAAGTGGGCAATGAGTCTATTTGACTCCTTATGCCTCCTCTGTTCGTTATGTCTTTAGTAGGACTTTTTCCATAAAATAGACTTCTTTAATGATCATTCTAGAGAAAGTGACATTTACTTGAAAATTTCTGCTACCCAGGTCGATGATTCCGGCCTCCGGATCCTTCAGGAACCGGTCAGAAACGGTCTAATTTCCGGTCTTTTTTCGCCGTTTCCGGTGTCTTTCCGGCCGAAAACGGCCGGAAAAATAACCGGATCACGGAAGCAGTATTCCGGCCGGAAAATTCTCGTACCCGGAAACGGAATGTTCCGCTAATTGCCCGCCACTGGAAATCCACAGGAAAAACATCGGAACTTCGAGAAACCCGCTGGAAAGCGGGAAGGAACCGGCCGCTTCCCACTGGAAACACATGACAACCGGTTCGAAATCTCCTTGAAAGATCTTTGAAATATCTTTCATAGATCTTTCTTAGATCTTTCAAACACTTTCAAAGATACTTTTGCCATACACCTTAGTTTGATGCCACCTTGCACACGTAAGTCGGAACAATCAAAAGAAATGACTTCCGCAGAGATTTCACAAGACGATCCTATCGTGGGAGCTGTTTTCAGGCGACTATCTGAGTTTAAGAAAAATAAAATACGTGGGAAATCTATTCTCAGATACCTTACATTCAAGGTATGATTGACCCTGGGACGACCAGGATCTTCACTACCAAGATTTGGTATAAACGCCGACGCACGCGAAAGTGAAGGAGAAAATTTGAATCCACATCCACCTTACGAATTCTAATGAAATACCTCACTTAGGTACTTCGTGGTTTTGGAAGAGTGCTTGCTGTGGGGCACGACATTAACTGTGTCTTTACACATTACACGTAGAGATTTTGGAGTCTTTGAAAGATCTTTGAAATGTCTTTGATAGATGTTGCAAACTCTCATAAAGAGACTTGAAAGATCTTTTGAAGTCTTCGAAAAGTCTTTGAAAGATCTTTTGAAGTCTTCGAAAAGTCTTTGAAAGATCTTTCAAAGTCTTTGAATGATCTTTTAAATATCTTTCAAAGGTCTTTGAAAGACCGAATGTGGACTTTGCCAACGAAACGGAAAGAGGTGGGATTTAACCGGATCCTGTGGTCGGGACGAAACACCGGAACCCTTGTTTGGAACCGTACCGAAAACGGCAGGTATACGACTCGGATCCGGTTAAAGTGTTTTAGACATATGATGGGGAATTTGAATTTGTGGCAAATTCATTTTCTTTAAAAAAAATGAATTTGCGACAAATTCATTATATAGAGGTAGAGAAGCATCTTGAGGATGAGGAAGGTACCCTTGGGGAACAACAAAGTGAGGCTGAGGAGGGTACCCTTGAGGGTGCCCTTGAAAAGGTACCCTGAAGGTGGTATCTTTGAAGGGCTACTCTTAAGGTGGCTTTACCCTTCGGTAGGAGATTTCTTTGTCTTTAAAGAAGCTATAGAGATACAGCGGTATAAGGATACTTATACCGCTATACCACTATACCACTACACCGCTATAGCGGTATAGCAGTATAAACATTTGAATTTGCCGCAAATTCAAATTCCCCATGAACTCGGAATGAGCTGGAACTAAGCAGGATCCGGAAACCAGATCTGATTTCGGAACACTGCTTCCAGGAATTGACCGGAATTTCATGGGATACGGCCGGTTCCCGCCGTACATCTTTGGTCTGGGTAGATAAAACATATAAGATAACACTGAATAGTTAGCGTCAATTAGAAATAGAATCGGTACCAGATATTAGTTGGTTTGCTGCTAGATTAATTACTACTTGTAGATCAATCATACACCAATCTATCAAGCTGACTTCTCTACTTTTATTAAATAAACTTATTCAAAACTTCCATTGATCTTTAGAGTATGACGTTGTTTATAGATGCGAGGATGAGTTTTGTTGCCTTTTTATTTCTTTTTGTTTGTCGTCATAAGTAATTCAATAAAATATGTGGAATCAGAGGATTAGTATTGTCTAACTGAACAGTTTTCATATAAAGTTAGGATCATATTAAGCAGGTGACACCTATTTCGTACAGCATCTGTAGTGAAATTTTGTTTCAAAATCGATCAATAAAATAATAGTATCCATAGATAGAACTGGTACCGGTAGTTAGTCGATTCGTTCTGATCTACTCACTCAACATCGATACCAGTTATAAAACATCTAAACTAATTTCGTCTCTATTGTCAATAATCTGTTTTGAAAAAGTACTGACTATGTCAAAAACTTTGAACAGAATCATATTTCATTATGTAGATAAAGTCAGAAGGATTATGAAACAGTTGCAGTTTTCAATCAGCTGTATTTTCGACAGATTCAGTTTACAGGATATATGAATTTATTTGCTTTACATAAGATACGTGAAAAGCACAACCCAATAACATTAGATTTTCAGTCTAATATTAAGTTATGAGTTATCTAATAAGTCAAAAAGAATGAACTTGACTCAGTGATCATCTAAATTTTTAATAATATATTGAACATTGAAATTTTTTCGTCATTTTGTAATGCTGCCTTTTTTATTGATCGAGAAGAATTTTCCACCAATACATCATATTTGGAAATTGTTTTCTGTATATCGAAATGACACTTTCAATCGATTCTAATTCGTCATTTTACATAATTAGTACACTAATTACTCCAATAATAGTCTGAAAGATGATAGAGATGATGAAAGTATGAATTTGTAGAAAAAAAAATGACAAGGCAACATCTTGAAAAGAAATATGCTCCCATCAATATGATAGATAGAATCTGTCGATATAAAAAAATATTAATATCAAAGTACTAACAGATACATGTCGCAGAAAGTTATGTCAAAAAGAAGTATGTACGATGTGAATAAATGTCAGGTTAATTTTATATTGAACTATGCACATAGAAATGATTATCAAGGATAAATTAATCTTTGGAAAAAAAACACGACTCGTTAACATTGACTCGCAAATTGCACAACCATAACATCATTGTACAACAATTAGAGTTGAATTATTTATATTCATGAGAAAATATTTAAAAAAAAGGTAATATAACCATATGGCATTTTACTCATTTCTTTTTTTCTTTGGATACAAGTAATCTGTATTTATTATTCATTGTTCCAAAGACAAAAATCGAAATAAATAATATCGAATATTTTCGTATTTATATATGAACCACTTCAGGCAAAACGGGACACATGTACCTTTCATTTGACTTTGATTCTTTAACATTCGAATCTATATTCGACATACAATATGTAAAATAAACAAAATTGAAAGCTTTAGAATAGACTCTACGACACGAACCACATCTATGTTGATATTTTCAGCAAGATTGGACTCAAAAAAAACTTCCTTATTAAAAAACTGGTTTTCCACAGATCCTATCAAATATCGAAACAAAATTTTTTGTCTTATCATCATCTAGAGATAGTCAAGAAAGGGTTCATACTTTTTGGAGTCGGCTTTGAATTTCTAATTCGTTTATAAAAACCGTTTTTTGTCGGTACATTCGTACTTTGTCACATCGCTAACGAAAACTAAATCGATTTTGTTTTGAAAAATCTATGCATACTCAGAAAAAACTTTGGATAGGGATCTTGTAGCCTCACGAGTTATTTACAGAATGTACTATTTAGTTTTCCAAAATGCTGCCCCAATTCGGAGGTTTTCTTTTTTAAACTAAAATGTGAGAAGTGAAAGTCAGTGTCTTCTCTTATTATGTCGCATCACTAGCATTAGTCTTTTGCTGATAATTCCTTTGAATAAAGGTTAGTAGCGTTATTTTTTTTTCAGAATATCTAGGATAACATGACGTACATGAAACATAAAAAATTAGGTTTCCAAAAGTTGACGATCCCGAGGTACACGTGTTTTATTTTCGGAATGTCACGTCTCTAACAAATGATTTCACCAATATGCTTCTTGTTTAAATGTCAATCATCGGTATTCTTTTTTTCTTCATTATTATATATCTCGATATTTCCCTATTTACTTTGATTATAATGCTAGTTGTGAAATTTTGTGTTTATCTAGCTTACAACCTGCAGACTGATGTGTTTCTACCGAATGAATGTTTTGATGTTACTTCGGACAAAGACTGTGAATTTCTTCTCAATTATTGTTTGGATGAATGGCTAACTTTACCTGAATATCCTGTTATGTATGGATATTTTCAATTTGTCTATTTGACTAATCGATCAATTAATCAATTTAAAATCAATGTCGTACCTGACTTCGTATGTTTTGATGCACAGAAATGCCCTGCATTATTATCTAGAATAGTCCCGATAAAAATAATCGATGGTCTTACATGTTGCCGCATTTTTGACTTGATTTCAAAAGATCCAAGAGAAGAGTTTTATATGTTGAATCCCGAGTTCTGGAACCTTTATCGTGTATGTTCAACTATCGGTAATGAAATGTCATGTACAAATTCATCTTATTTTCATTGTAATCAATCTTTAAAATGCATTTCATATCATCGTGTTGGTGACGGATTCAAAGATTGTTTTTATAATGAAGATGAATCATTTCCTACGTGTCATTTGAATGTCTCAAATCGATTTAATTGTACGTCAGATCCAGCCAAGTGCTTGTTGCCTGTAGCGATTGGTAATGCACGACTTGATTGTCCACAAGGAGAGGATGAGGAAAATGAGAATATATATGGTATCCTGCAACGAATATCGTTTTCATCCATATGTGGCGAAATACCAGAGCTCATGGGGGATGAAACTGATGAAACAAACTGTAAATGGTGGCCATGTGATAATGCATACTCACATTGTAATATGTTTTGGGATTGTCTTAACGGTATCGATGAACTGAATTGTCCACATACAGATTGTTCATCGAACGAATTTCAATGCAGAAACAGCGATTTGAATTTAACTTATTGTTTACCATTAGTTCACATGTTTCATAAGCGGAGATATGATTGTGCGAAAGGTGGGATTATTCTAAAACTCTATTTCGACAATGGAACAAGTGATATTAGCAAATCTTACTATTCATTTAACAAATCCAAATGTATAACTGAAGACAACATTTGTAATCATCATTCAGAAAGAGAAAATGTACAAGAAGATGTATGCCTTAAAAATCAAATGCTCAATAGAGGAGTCAGTCATTATAGTACAATCCACAAAGTCGATAATGATAATACATACTTATGTAGTCTTCAACCTAGAATCGAGATGTACCCTACTTCTATCCGTCGCTTCATGACTCCTTCGAGACTTGGCTATTTTCCATCAACAACATCTACAAGTTCCGCTCAAAATTTTTTCGACAAATATGAACACAAAAATAATATACCTAAGATAGATATGGCACTCGCTGGGTATTGCCATTATGGTGTTGTCACTCTATTCAAGGGTGTTAATCAAACAAAAATATGTTTATGTCCACCAAATTATTTTGGTTCTCATTGTCAATGGCAGAGTCAACGTGTTAGTTTGACTTTGCAATTTAGAACACTAAGTATTATTTCTCCTCCAGTTATTTTTCGATTAACCATCATGCTCACTGATGAACAAGGAAACATTGTACCAAATCATGAACAAATGATATATATGCCTGCTCGTGATTGTAATACGAAATTTAATGTCTATCTACTTTATCCACGTCGGCCCAAACATTTATCAGCAAATTATTCGATTCGAATTGATCTTTTCGATAAATCAACATTAGATTATTGGACGAGTTGGTATTTGCCAATTCCATTTCAGTTTCTTCCTGTTAATCGAATATCGACTCAATTAATCATTCCTGAAGTACGAGAAAATAAACTATGTATATTGCCGTGTGGAGAACATGGTCGATGTATGAAATATACAAATATGAACAATTTATTTTTTTGTCGATGTGATCAAGGATATTTTGGTACTTTCTGTAATATTACACATCAATGTCAATGTTCAAAAGACTCATTCTGTCTTGCTCCATCTATCTGTGTGTGCCCTTTGAACAAGTTCGGTTCACGTTGTTATTTGAAAAGATCAATATGTCAATCAATTAACAATCCATGCCAACACAATGGACTTTGTATAGCAATTGATGATCGTATTAATTTACATGGATTTATCTGTGTTTGTAAAGAAGGTTATCAAGGTGAACGATGTCAATATAAAAGCAATCAAATTGATATTCGTATAGATGAGACAATACTAACAATAAGTTCATCATTCATTCTACATTACATAATAGCATTTGACAGATATACAAAACATGAACGAATGACTACACTAAAAAGGATTGCTTTCGGTTACAATACTATGACGATTTATGTACGACAACCATTTAACATTCTTTTCATACAAATACCTGATGGTAATTATTATCTAACCGTATTAAGAGAAAGATATATACCATCCGAATATATTCATACTCAAGTATTACCAAAAAACCGTTGTTATCCAGTTTTTTATCTTCTTAATGATACTTTTCGTCAGTATGAATATCTACGTCGGGTGAAATATTATCCACTTTTATGTCGTCAAGATCCACAATTGATGTGCTTTTATGACGAATACTACATGTGTATATGTGATAGTGATCGCTTTTCAAATTGTTTCGAATTTAATTATACGACAAAATATAATTGTAATGGAAAAAATCTTTGTTATAATGATGGTCAATGTTTTTTCAACAATGAAACCTGTCCAACAACATTTATTTGTGTGTGTAATAATTGTTACTATGGAAGACAATGTCAATTTTCAACACAAGATTTCATTTTCTCACTCGATCCAATTCTTGGATATCATATTAAACCAAGTATTTCAGTTCATCAACAACCATTTATTGTCAAATTCAGCATTATTATTACTACAATTATGTTGATTTTAGAATTAATCACGGGTTCATTATCTATAGCAACATTTCAAGTGAAAAAATCAAGAGAAGTTGGTTGTGGTTATTATCTAGATCCTATACTTTA